CATAGCCATTACGCTAACTTCTGGTTCCCTCTCATTGTGGTTTTGATCTGAATCTCCTTTATGATGAGGGAAGCTGAGCATTTTTTTCATATGCTTTTTGGTTGTTCATATGTCTTCCTTAGAGAGTTGTTTATTCAGCTCATTTTCCCATCTTTTAATTGGGTTAATCATTTTCTTCTGGAGAGCTGCTTGAGTTCTCTGTGTATTCTGATTATCAGTCCCTTATCTGAGGCACAGTTAACAAAAATTCTCTCCCATTCTAAGGGTTGTTGATTCACACTAATTATGGAGTCCTTTGTTGTGCAGAAATTTTTTTTTTCTTTTTCTTTTTTGAGAGGTTTTCTCTACAGGGCATGTGTGCTTGCCAGAAAGACAGAGAAAGACAGACAGGAAGCGAGAAATCACTCCCCAAGGGGATGGCCACACCGCAATCCCTTCTCCTCCATTCTCCTCTGGGATCTTGGGCACACACGCCTGGGGTGATTTTAACCCACCAGGTCCAGGCCTCGAACCGCGGTCGACTACATGGCAGTCCAGTGACATAGCCATTACGCTAACTGCGGGTCCCCACAATAGATTTTTAAGAATCATTTATCATGCATATAATATCACATTTCTTTGTCACATTAATGCTTTGCCTCCCTATTTTTCTTCTAAATGCCTTGTATGTATACAATCATGTCATCTGCAAACAGATAATTTCAGCTCTTCTTTCACACACACTGTATCTTGACTTTTATTTTCTTCTCTTTTCTGATGGCATTGACTAAGACTTCCAATACTATATTGAATAGGAGTGGAGAAAGTGGGCAGCCTTGTCTTGTACCAGTTTTTAGTGGAAAAGCTTTTGGCTTTTCCTTATTTAGTATAATGCTAGCTTTAGGTTTTTCACAGATGGATTTTATAATGCTGAGAAATGATCCTTCTATGTCAATTTTCCTGAGAGTCTTAATCATAAAGGAATGTTGTATTTCGTCAAATGCTTTTTCCACATCAATTGAGATGATAATGTAATTTTAACCTTTCTTTCTGTTAATATGGTGTGTTACATTTATCATTTTGCATATGTCGAACCACCCTTGCATCCCTAGAATAAAGCCTACCTGGTCATGATGAATAACCTTTTTTATAAGCTGTTTAATATGGTTAGCAAGTATCTTGTTGAGAATTTTTGCATCTATATTTATCAGAGATATAGGTCTGTAGTTTTCCTTTTTTGTTGTATCCTTATCATTTTGGGAATGAAGATAATGGAGAATGAATTTGGAAGGGTTCCTTCCTTTTGGGTCTTTAGAAACAGTGTGAGTAGAATGGGGGTTACATCTTCTTTAAAAGTTTTGTAAAATTCAGCAGTGAAGCTATCGGGACCTGGATTTTTCTTTGTTGGGAGGTTATTTATCAATGATTCAATCTCATTGCTCGTTATAGGTCTGTTCAGGCTTTCTATGTCCTCTTGTGTCAGTCTTGGTAGAGTCTTCTTTGTTGGCATATAGTCGCTCATAGTATCCTCTAATAATGTTTTGTATTTCTATTATGTCTGTTGTAATGTTGCCTGATTCATTGTGAATTTGACTTATCTGGTCCCTTTCTCTCTTCTTCTTAATTAGTCTGGCTAATGGTGTGTCAATCTTGTTTACCTTTTCAAAGAACCAGCTTTTGCTGTCATTTATTTTCTGTATAGTTTGTTTGCTTTCTATTTCATTTATTCCTGCTCTAATCTTTATTATTTCTTTTCTCCTGGTGGTTTTTTTTTTTTTTCTGTTGTTGTTTTTCCAGTTCCCTGAGTCATGATGATGGTTGTCCGTTTGCCAACGTTTCATCTTTTTCTTGTGCTCACTAATTGCTATGAACTTCCCTCTTATGACTGCTTTTGCAGTGTCCCATAAATTATGGAAACTTATATACTCATTATCATTTGTTTCCATGAATCTTTTGATTTGAGTCTTGATCTCTTCAGTAATCATAAAGTAATTCAGAAGTAGGTTATTTAGTTTCCATGTATTCATGTATTTTTAGGGTTTTTCCTGAGGTAGATATCAAGTTTAATTCCATCAGAGAAGATGCTGGATATAGTTTCTATGCCTTTGAATCTGTAAAGGCTGTTTTTGTGCCCTATCATGTGGTCGATCTTCGAGCATGTACCTGATTGCCTAGACTAGACTTGCTCAAAGCATGAAACCACATAGAAATGTAATTAGAGAAAAAGTATATGATCAAATGGTAATAGACTGTGAAAACCTAGCAAGGCTTATATTTTCAGATTATTCTTGGACTTTTATGTGCAGAATTCCATCCTCTCTGGTATGGAGAAGGATCACTTCTGAAATGAGGCAGCATAGGTCAGAGAATTCCTTTATGTCTAGAGCCAGTACAGAAAGCCAAGAGAAAGATTAGAATATATTTTTAGTTTCTATCTCCAGCACTGGGAAAGAGAAACTTTTCTTTATATGGCCTGCTTGAGGAGAAAAAAGAAGGTAGAAGAGCACAAAAAAGTCATAGGAAAAAATGTATAATCCATCAGATGTCCAGAAACCACCACAGAGGCACAAGAAATATGAGAAACCAAGAAAATATCTCTCCTCTAATGGAAAAGAATAATTCCTTTTCCTCCACAAAGAATACACAAGGGAACTCATGGAAATGTCCGATAAGGAATTTAAAATATTCATAGTGACAAAGCTAACAGATGCAAAAGAAGGGAGACAATGAACTCCAGAAAATGCAGAGAAAAGAGACACCGAGTTCCAGGAGGTAAGGAAGTTCTTGAACAATCTGAAAGAGGAGATACACAGCATAAAAAAGAATAAAATTCATGATGGTAGACTTTTTACAAGCAAAATGAGAAATAGTGATTGGTTAAAAAATGATTGGAATAATAATAATTAGGAAAAACAATGAAAAGATATTGAATGATGAAGTGGGGATTTTAATGTCTCTGTATTGACTGACATGCATGGCATTTCCTTTTGAAAAAGCAATGTAATACACTGTAAAGTTATATGTGATTCAATGTAATATAAACAAGATTATGATGATAATAAATTTTTAAAAATCTTCAACCCCCCCAAAAAAGAATCAAATGGAATTGTTAGAGATCAAGGCTATAATACAGGAAAACAAAACTTCTGTTGAAAATATCAAAAGCAGGTTAGATTGTGCAGAAGACTGAATCTCAAATGTAGAAGATAGAACCTATGACCTAGAAAAGTTCACCAAAACAACTGAGAAAATAACCCCTGAAAATAAAATATAAGTAATACTTGGTACCATTAAATGCCCAAACATCTAGATCATCAGTATCACAGAAAGTGAAGAAACTAATAAGGGAATTGATAATGTATTCCATGAAACTGGAAGAAAACTTTCCAAATCTTACAGAGGCACTCAAATATCCAGACCAAAGAACTACAAAAGACCCACATAGCATAAACCCAAGAAGATCTTCCCCAAGGCACAATCACAGCC